TGTACATGGAGATGTACATGTGTAGCTCACTGGGGAGTCACAAGAAATTATTCCAGGAAATTCTTCAGTCTTTCCAGATGCCTCTCTCACTAGCTGGACTTGTTGCTTGCTCAATGGATAATTAAATCAGTTCCTTTTGGGTTTACTGCTTTATCAGAAACTTATGCTGGGTGCAAGAAGAGAAGTGGACCTGGAAAGGAAGGTCACCATATGAAAGAGGACAAGGAGGCAAAGGTGGTTATGAGGCTTGACAAAAGGACAGACCTTGTTTTTCATGAAAGGAAGACATAGTTGCAATGGTTCAGCTTGGAAGAGGCAAAATAGAAAATGACTTTGGGAGACTTGGAGCGATCAAGGAAGGCTGTTCAGAAATCTTGCTTTTACATAACAGTGCAACACCCCTCCTGCCTGGAGATCATGGCTTTTTCTGCCAATTGTGTTTTGCAGTCGGCCACATTGTCCCATTCCCTCAGCACCATGCCCAGACTACCGATCCAGAGGAGGCTGCACTGCTCCTGGGAGCAGCTCCAGTATCAGCCAAACCGAGGAAGGGTATGCATGACAGAGGTTAACAAAAAGGTCAGCATAGGCTCTTATTTCACATAGAATACATAGGTCCTCATAAGCTCTTGATTTAAAACTGTGGGATTTTAAATTATTTAGATGCCAAAATGAATTTAACCTCTTTAATTTAAAAAAAAAATTATTTTAACTGAAGTCTAATAAATGAGTCACAGTTTTTCACACTTGCAGTCAGTCTGCACAGGCAGATTTTACTGTATCAAGGGAACCAATAGCACTTTCTCAGATTAGGCCAGCTGGCTCCTCCTTCACCTGATGCTCTGTTTATCCAAACATTTCAACTTTAGTCTTTGGATAAACTTTATCCCTAGTACCTCAAATACAAAGCACCTTTCCTAAGGATGGCTAGCAATGAAGGTGCTTACAACACATGCAAGGCTTTCCAATACGTAAGCACAATACCTTCATACAGAGACACGCAAGTTATAACAGCAAAAGCTTCTGAGCACAGTGATGAAAGAATCCTGCTCCAGCAAAGCAACACAAACCATTTTTCTTGCATATATCTGAACATTCAAAATATTAACATAGAACTTCGTGATTCCATTCTTGTGCTACAAGAAAATGTGTGAAAGAAAACAAAAAGCAAAACTTTAGAGGAAACAGAGAGGAACACTCATGGAAAGGGCAAGAGCAAGCTGAGCTCTCCTGAGCTACCTCCATCATTATATTCCATAGCCAGGACTAAAAGAAAAAACCAAAACCACAGCAACTCATTAACACACATGGTCAGGCTTTGTCTGTATATCGCTACTATATGAAGAGAGCTAATAAAGAGATTAGAGAAGATGTCTGGCAAAACTGGATGAATAAAGCACATGAAGAAATTCTAGTTTGCCCCATGTCATTACCACAGCTTCGGCAAAAAATTAATAATAGACAATTGCTTAGGAGGCACGCTTTCTTATTCTTCTGAAGGACAGAACTAGTATAATAACAAAGTTATTAAAACCTCTGCACAGGACAATTGCTTGTGCGCGTTAGTCTTGTTCAAACGTCAGAAAGAAAATACTGAGAAGGAAATCTGCTTGAACATGTAAACCTATCAGTTCTGAACTACGGCATATGACCAGAATGAGCTTCTTATTTTGCTGGGTTTCATGTTTATGTATGTCTATTTACACTGCTAATCTGTCTGTATAATTACTTGATTGAAAGCACACTTATGGTACTCACATACATAAATTAGGCACACGTGTGCTTTTGCAGCCAAGGCGTCTGAAAATTATCACAGCCGTTAGAGTCACAGCGAATCTGCTGCCAGTGATGTTCAGATTCCAGCTGGGATAGTCTCATTCTTGCTATCCAAAATTTCATACTGTATATTTAAAAGGAAAATATATTCTTTCTGTCTGTAAATACAGAGCAGCTGCTCTCTATCTCAGAGGATGTCTGAATTTCAGAGGGGGGCGTGAGGGATCCCTATACGTTAAGTATACACCACAGAGAGTGTGACAGTACTTTTCTCTACAAGATGATTATTAACACTCTCAGTTTTACTTTTTCTGCAGAGCAAGCAAGGCAACCCTCCCCTGCCCCAACAACAATTTATTAAGGGTCCAGAAACACCTCTGAATTACAGTGCACTTTTTCCCCCGCAGTAAAGTGGTTATCTCCTCAGATTTCATACACTGATAACATTTTCTACTGTACCATTAGAATGAAATGTAGAAGCCTCAGCTTCACAGTTCTGCTGATGCTGAGACAGTTGCATCCAGACAAGAAAAGATTAAATTTATGGTTATCATTGCTATTATTATTCATTACTGAACTACCACAAAGATGCACAGTGCTTTATAAATCCAGAGGGCCTCAGGACCTAGCGCTCATTCCCACTGCTGTTGACTTCTCTCCAGCTCTATAGGTTTTGTGTCTCTTTCAGGGGGTTTGGACAAGATGCCAAAACCAAAAGCAATGGTTTAACAATATTGGTGGCTATCACTACAGCACTTATATGTTCAGTGATCATTGACAAATGAACAGAGACATGCTTGCCTTTCAAGTCCAAGACCCTTCTAAAGAAGTATTAAAATGAAAACACTTTCTGTTCTTTTTTTTCTTTCTTCACTTATCATGAACCCTTGTTTCACACACAGACATTCGCATACCTCACTATACTTCAGTCATCATTTTTTATCTCAAGGGTCATTAATTACACATGTTTCTATGTCACTTGGCTACATGTACCAAAGCAATCTTTTAGCTAATAAGCATTATCAACTTTCTGTCTGGTTTTTTGTGTGTTTTGCAAGGGGGAAATCCCCCATAATATATATGCTATAAATGTATTAGTTTCTTTTTTACTAAATCCCATCTATGTTGACAGAAGTCTTGGCTTTTCCCAAACACTTTTTTTGTGTGTTTTGCAAGGGGGAAAACCCCCATAATATATATGCTATAGATTTATTAGTTTCTTTTTTACTAAATCCCACCTATATTGACAGAAGTCTTGGCTTTTCCCAAACACAGGCATTTTTATATCCCCATTCTTTTCACTTTATTGCTTTTTGGTTTGGTTTTTTTTTTACTACACATTCACTTTTTCCTCAAATTTTACTTTTAGGTTATTTAAAGCTGAATCTTTTTGGAAACACAAACAGCCGTTCCCGCACTGCTCACCTGATTCCTGTCTCTGGCATTTGCGTAGCGAAACCGCTGGATGTAGTAGAAGACCAGCCACGCCAGTGAGATGATCATCAGCACAATGAAAGAGATGGAGACGAACACCACAGAGGTCCTGCTGACGTACTTCTGCAAGTTGCGTGTCCCGATGGTTATGTACATCATCACAGTAATGTTCCTCTCCAGGAGGCTCACTATCTCTTTTCCTTTGGGTTCAGGAATCATTATTGCTACAACATCTTCCAGGCCTGTCAGGTGAAAGAAAAGAAACCTTGAGTAAAAAGGGTGATTGCCACATAATAAAATGACAAGACGATGCGGTACGGGAAAAAAAAAAAAACAAAAAAAAGAGAAAAAAAAAGGCAAAACAGTAACAAAAACACTCCCCTTTCTCCTGCTGGTTTTCACCACGAGGTAAGTCAGATGGACATGGTGAAGGTTTCAACTAGAAACAGTTACACAGTGTGTTTCTATAAAGCAATCTCGCTGAGATTAATACATGAAACATGGACAATTAACAGGGCTCATGGGTTGACACAAACACAGATTTCCAGCTCTACTGAGGCTTATCTAGACAATACTTCAGGAAGCACTGCAGAAAGGGAGATGTTCTGTAGCCAGCATCCTTCCGTCCATCACCCCATATACATTTCTCATAGCCCACTTTGCAGGGTCATTAATCTGCCAGAGAAGGCCCTCCAAACCCCGCACTCAGACCAGAACTGCTTTCAATCATAGATCCCCACATGGTTTCACAGCCAGAACACGTCAAAGCATCACTGCCTTTGTGAGGGGCTGGCACATCAGCAGCTTGACACGTTCCCAGCTCACCCACTGCCCCGTGCCACGGAGGCTCCCCACAGCCTGAGCACACAGAGCTATCTGGGAGCCCATGCTAGGAGCTGGACTCACCAAGAGACGCAAGTTTAAAGTCAAGAGCACTGTTTTATTCCACAAAACTACTCCTGTAGCCCAAATCGGCTCCTGATGCAGCTTGAACCATGGCCCTGCAAGGACATGAGTCAGTACAGCTGGGGTGGCAAAGGGTTGTCCACTACTGGGATGTGACAGGGACTTCCACAGCCCTGTCAATCTTTCTGAAGCCATGACCTTGAAAAATGAGCCCTCCGCTGATCCATCACGCCTCGACTCTATACCAGCTTTCCTTTCTGTAAAGTGCTGTTCCATTTTCCCTGTATCACCCGCTGCTGAAACTCTCTCCTTTGATGTTCCCTATGTACATGACAAATATGGCCTGAAATTATCTGGGATTGGGCAGCTTGTTAAATGCCTTGCCTGGTTTTATAAATAAACCATCACTCCTTTATAGTTTAATATTAGGGATATTCTCTTCTACTTCACAGAACAAGCACATAGAACATTTTTTTGCCTAAAGCTATGTTTTGCAATGGCCAAATCCTGAACTGTACTAAGCAGCTAAGGACAAAGAAGATATATTTTAAGGTAGAAACGTGCTAGAAACAACAGCATATGGAATGATCACAAAGTGGCATTTAGAAAGAAAGGTATAAACTGGGGGCGTCTGAAGTCAGACAGGCGTTGCTGGGGTGGGGTTTCAAAATTTCAGCTGAAATCCCAGGAAATCAGCTGACGTTGTTAGCCCCATGGTTGCCTGTGTTTTGACTGTGTCAGGAGGACAAAGCGCTGCCTGCCCTGGGACACTCGTGGAGGTGGGAAGGGATTGCTTGGCTGCAAATGGAGATGTGAGAGAGCAACTTGCATTTCCAACAGCATCCCTCTCCAAGCTGATATCCAACCTGAGGTTCACCAGTGCAGCACTGTGCCTAGGTCCTCATGGTCAGCTCAGACATTTCTCCACTGAAAATCTCTGGGAGGTATAAAGCAGGTTTTCAAAGGTATTTAGATGCTAGAGACCAAGAGGTGTCTAGCAGGATTTTGTATATACTAAAGCAGACAGGTAGGTAGTGTTCAATGGAAAAAGCTAACCATGGTGGAAACTTCATCAAATCCTGCCAGGTGCCTGGACCAACTGGAGATACTGAAATAGCTGTGACAGACTGCTGCTACTCACACACAAAATCTGCTGCAAAGCCAGGAACTGAACCCTCCTCTCTCAAACCTTGGAGCAGAAGTGCAAACTGCACCACTCTTCCTCTGGTTATTTCCATCATAACACTTTCCTGATTATGAACGGGCCAACCAATGAACAGGGGGAAATCAATAGTTTGGCTAAATCAGGAGAGATTTAGATGTCCATGACAGGAAATATAACATTTCTGCTGATACTTTTCCATAAAGCATTAACAATTTTCAGATCTTTCTCTTTATTTCTCTAGTAAGAGCCCGCCTTCAGCAGCCAAGATAAATCTGCTTTTGCAGCTCTTCTGATACCTGTTTAATACAAAAGGCTAATGCAAACATTACCCTAACAGCCTGGGGAGAATTTGCCAACTCTCAAAGTGGCTGAGAAGGGCACTAGTGTCATGCCAGTAATTTTCCTGCAGTCAATAAGACAAATTGTCTGGAGCAGTCCTTAGCTGTCCATACACCTTCCTTTGTTCTCTTCCCTTTAAAGAAAATAAAAACTTCAAAATCACTCTAGAAGAAAACCAAAGCAACCACTTCACACACAGCCAAAAAGAACCCATAGTGAAAAATCCCACAGCTAAGAATTCTGAAATGAATTTCATCAACTCCTCTCAAAAGTCCCCACCATTCTGACCCCCTCACTTGTCCAGCTGGACCTCTAACATCACCTTTAGTACAATCTGAGACACTGAACGCAGGATGTTACCTGACAGCCTATACAAATGGGAGATACAGACAAAATAATTTTCAGCAGAAAATATAGGCAGTATCTGAAATGTTTAATTATCCTTAATTTTACATTTCTTTAAAAACTTTAACAACATGTTTGATTATGTGTAATTCAACTTCACATAGCTTAGCATATCTCTGGAAAACTGTACATAATGGGTACAGGCCAGATACGACATGTTGCAAATGAAGAATCACATTCAACTGTTCCATTATGAAATTAATAATTTTCTAATAACAAAACAAGCACCTGACAGTGCTGCCCTATCTTCTTTCTTTAATATTAAAGTAATGAAAAAGAGGGAGAAAAAGCTTATGACCTCCTGCATAAATTTAACCTCATTCCTGTTTTTCACCACCTGCCCTTTCTGGTTAAGCTACAGTGCAGCTTTCTGGCTTCAACGCACGGCAGAACCATGACTGGTTCTGAACAGGGGTGCAGCCACACGCCCCCCTTCTCTGCTCTCCCCCCCTCACATCCCCCTGTCAGGATTGCCTGCTGCCACCTCGGGCCTGGGACCTTTGGAGATGATTTACAAAACACCAGATACTAAGTTAATTGCCATGGATATATCCCAACTAATATTGCATTCAGAGGTGCAAAGCAGAAGACACAGCTATTGCAAGAGGAAAGCAGCTGCTTTTATTTTTTCAAACCCTTAATATATTCAAATTGCAGGCTATCTGGTTATTTTCTTGGAAAACAATACCATTTGTAACGAAGCATTCTTGGAAAAAAAATAGTCAAATTGGCAACGAATAATAATCAGGTTTTTTTTTTTTTAACATTTTATTGAGTTTATAATTTCTCCAAGGCACTATAGAGAACACTCTTTGATCAATCAAACAATTAAGTTTTTAATCTCAAATATGCTCAATATTGTGAAGAAAAGTAAAGAAGGAAAAGAGAACATAATTTTTTTGCCTTTCCTCTCTTATACAACAAAATGTTTGTATTATCTCAGTTTCAGTATCTAATGACACACTGGAAGCTCTGACATATATGGAAACTATACACATGAAAGAAGAGTGATAATGTAACGAGACATCAATGTCAGAGTTGCATTTCTGCATCCAAGTACCCATTTCCTCAACAGACTTCAAAAAAGAAAAAGTATCTGGTAGCACGTACTGATGGTTCTCTTGTGAGTTAAATGCTAACGATGCCTTTCATTACACACATCCACAGCGGTAACTGCATTTTGTGCTACTCCTGTTACTTAACACATTTCTTTTCTTTTTCTGGCCAAGATTAACTAACGCAAGAGTTGGACATGAATTTTTAAGCAGCTGTCAGGATGAATCAGAGATTCATAAATCAAAGATATTCAGGCTGTAGTGAATGGATTTTTTTTTTTCTTTTTTTGGCTTTGGAAACATTTAACATACCAATGTTCTCTCCTTATGAGCCAACAACAGAACATGTAAGCTAGAACTTGCAGGCATTGGGAATTATTTCAGTCGCTTTAACCTAACAAAATGTATTCACCTAATCAAATATTTCTGAGTGGAGAAAATGCTGGGATGTTCTCTACGTGAAATTGCAAACTTTTTCAAGTGTAACAATCTATTCACTGGTGACAGGGGAAAAGAAAGACTTCAGTTCTGTAACAGGGGCTTTTGTAGAAGAAATGAGCATATTTTATGGTCAGAAGATGTATGTACGTATTCCACCTTGGCCACAGGCTGTGCTGACAAACCTGTGATATTTCTTGATTCTGCTCTGGGAGCTTCAGGGGTGATGCTGCAAACGGTCCTCTGTTCTCCTCATTAGCAGTCAGGCCCAGCAGCGGCAGGCTGCTGCTTTAATGCTTTGTCAAGTTTTGATGCAGGGTCTAAAAAGCTGGATGTTTCTGACACATCTTAGAAGAGACGATTTAATTCTTCATGCTTGGCAACTGCCAGAAGTCAGTTAGGGAAACAATTAATTGAATTATTTGAGTAAAATTTCAATTTGAGAGGCATATAGAGTCTTTTCCAAGATGTCCAATCAAGATGTAAATGAGGATTTCTCTTATGTTGTACATCAAAATCAAGCATTAAAGTATTTGCTTTTACAGATTTTGCAACTGAAAACTCAAAACACTATTTTAGAGTTCGGAAATTGCCCCAATAAAACAGCAAGTGTTCACTCCTGCTCAGAGCCCAGGAATAGAAACCTTGCAGGAGGGTGCAAGAACCCAAGCAACTCTTCCTTTACTTTTTGAAGAAATAATTTCATTTTTAGGAATCAATTTCAGTAACTACCAGCTATTGTAAAGAAGCAAAACAAATGCCGATCTAAACAATTTAACAGCCTGCCCGCACCCAGCTCTGGAGCACCCTCCCTGGGCTCAGCCTGTGGTCTGCGGGTCCTGCCAGCCCCACACAGCCTGAGCCAATTTGGCGGCAGTGCTGGCTCCGCACAAGGACTCACTGTGCTGCCAACTACACAAGTGCTCTCCTGCCA